CTCTTTCGGAGCAGGCCTTTGCCTGCAGGTATGCAGCCTGCTCCCGATACCGAAACATGCAGAGATTTGGGGTGGGGAGGGAAGGGGGAAGTATTAAAACGTTCCATTTCCATCGCGCCATAGAAATGAAGGGCTGGAAGGACCTCGAAAGATCGCGTCCAACCCCCTTACTCCTGGTAGGAATACTGCTGAGATCAAATGATCCCAGTTACATTTAATGTCATTGCTTTGTCCCAAGAACCAAACCCGGGGTCAGAGCAATCGGGGCCGCATCACGGCTGACACAACCGTGACGCCGGCAGAGGGAATTACAATATCACCGTGCAACGTGTTCACTCCTTTCCCCTGCTTGGGGCTCATCTTCCACTGCCCGACTGCATCGATGCCAAGCAGCAGCTCCAAATCGGGGAAGCAGTAAAGGTGCCCCAATAACCTCTCTCCTCGTTAACATGCATCAGTCTTTTAACAGGGCACTAGCTCCAGTTCAGCTGCTCGGTGCAGCCCTGCATTCTCCCCCGTTTGCAGCTTCTCTCCCCATCCAGAGCTTTTGGCCAACAAGAACCAGCCGTGGACGGAGAGATCCACTGCTGCTGCGAGAGCAGGTTGCCCTCGGGGTTTGGGACGCAGGCAAGCGCACGCAGGGAGAACAGGAGGTGCTGGCAGAGCCTCCGGCTCAGGCAGGAGGGGCCGGGTGCATGCCCCCCACGTCAGAGCCCAAAGAGCAGAGAACAGCAAAAGCAAACCAGCCCTGCAGGAGAGACACTGGGGAAGCCGGCAACTGCCGCGCGGGCCAAGGAGCTCTCGGGGCCGGAGAAGCCCAACTTCAGCTCACGCGGGGCCGGGAGGAAAGCAGCCGTCCAGCCTGTATCGCCTCAGCTGCCTCCACCCTGGGCTCCTGCAGCCGGAGGCACAGAGCAAGCTCCTCGCGGCTCTGAGCGCTGCTCTAAACACAAAGGGACAACGTGTGCTGCAAGCGCTGCTGGGGAGCAGAGGCAGCTACTGGCCAGCCGGGAAGAACCAGGCCTGGCGGCTCCCCGCAGCCCGCCATCTCCACGAGAGCCTGTGCCCAGCCTTGGCCACCAAAGCCTGCACGACGGGAACCCCGGGGGCAAAGCTGCCTACCGGGGCAGCAGCTCTGCAGCCAGGCCCTCGCACGTGGGAGCCCGTGCTCACAGGCTGGAGCTCGGGGTGAGAGGAGCCGCTCTACGCCCTGCCCGTCAGCTCAGACGTCCATCCGGTGGCACCGCATAAGCCCACATCCATCCCAGCAGCAGCCAGGACTAGCGCAGGGTTCTGGCCTCCAACCTCCCGGGAACACGCGCA